AAATAAAAACATATTTAAGAAAGAACACACAGACTCTGAGAATGAGGGCCCCAGGTGGCTGTGGGGGTCCTGCTACATCGTGGACCCCAAGGAACCAGCCCTCCCAGGACTCCCCACCTTGCAAGGTCTTCTCCTTAAATCTAGGCTGGGGCTTGGACTTGCTTTGACAAGAGAATTCAGGGCAAGTGGTGCTGGGCCAGCTCCAGGGCTGAGCCCTAAAAGGCCGGGAAGCGCCTGCTTTGTGTTCTTGGAGCCCTGAGCAGTCCAGCCGCCATTACAGGAACTGCTCCCCACAGGGGGGCCCTTTGGGAAGGGAGAGAAGCCCAGCCCCGGCCGCCACCCCAGGCCAGCACGCACACAGACACCGCAGGCCAGGCCAACTGAAGGCCCTCCCTTCTCCTCCCTGCTGAGCCCAGCCCACAGAACGGGGAGAAATCATAATAAAATCATGGAGTGCTGCTCTCCACGACTAGGCTCTGGGTGGGTGGTTTTCTACAGCAATAGGTAAAAAGAAGTCTTCTTGGGACAAGGGACATATAGAAAGCTCAAAAGAGCCGAAACCGGTTTGGCTCAGTGGATAGAGCGTCGGCCTGCGGACTGCAAGGTCCCAGGTTCGATTCCGGTCAAGGGCACATCCCCAGTGAGAGGTGTGCAGGAGGCAGCTGATTGATGTTTCTCTCTCATCGATGTTTCTAACTTTCTATCCCTCTCCCTTCCTCTCTGTAAAAAATCAATAAAATATATTTAAAAGAAAGAAAGGAAGCTAAAAGCTTGGACCAGACAAAGGCTCAGCCTTACTGCTGTGGTTGTCAGGCCCGGACTGTTCGCTCCCCGACTGGATAAAAGACCCTGTGGGCTAACAGTGATGCAGAGCACAAGGCTGCTGACTCTGACAAAGCTCGTGATCTCCGCCCCAGCCCCAAAGCGATGAGCTAAATGAAATAGAATAATGTGTAGGTGTAAAAAGTAGCATCCAGCCCACTGCAGGGGAAGCACTCAAAAATGCTTATGAGTTCCTCCATGCACTTTTAAAAAGTTGATTTTAGAGAGGAGGGGGGGGGGGGTAGAGAGAGAAACATCAACCCAGTGTTCCACTTATGTACCATTCATTGGTTGATTCTTGTATGTGCCTGACGGGGGACCAAACGCCAAATTTTGGCCTAACAGGACCACACTCTAACCAATGAGCCCCCCTGCCAAGCCCTCTGTGCACTCTGAAAGCAGTGCCGGGAACACCCATTGAGGGGCACTGTGGTGAAACCGTTAAGATTGTTCTGGAACCAAGCAGCCTGGTTCCAATCCGGGCCCTGACAATCACGAGTTGTAAGGCCACAATCTGCTCAGCTCTTCGGGGCCTCAGTGACCTCAGAGGAGAATGGGGCTGACAGTGCAGGCCTCACAGGGCTCTTAGGATTAAGTAAGTCCACGTGAAGGGTTTAGAAGGTGCTCGGCAGGTGGTAAGGACTGGGTAATGGTTAGGGTTGTCCTACATCTTGGGTTCAGACTGTTACACTAGCTTCTACGCTCCAAGAGTCCATGGTGTTTTTTCAAGGCCCATTTAATAAATGGACTCCCTTTAAAGATGCCCACCGGATGCTCCTTTTAAAAATTTCAAAAGGGAGAAATTATCCATATGATAATGAAATGCCCTTTTTAATATCTTTTCCCTTTTCTTCTAGATTTCTTCCCGAAAGAGTCAGATCAAAACTCAGTAGTCTTGGGTGAAGTCTTAGAAAAAAGTTAGCAACTGTGAAAAGGAAACCAAGAAAAGTGACAGGTGACACGTGTGCACATTACAAGTCAAACACACTGAGACGCCGGGGTGCTGTGGGAGCCAGGGGCAGGGCGTGTGGCACAGGCCCCTCAGCCTGTGTGGTACAGGCCCCTCAGCCTTCGGCTCGGGACCCTCCCCTGCACAGGGTTCCCACCCCCCAGCCCAGGCCTGCCACACCCCCCACCGGCCCCACCCCGGGTAGGCAGGAGGGGTAAATGAGCTCGAACATCCCCGAGGCGCTGGGCAGAGCTCAGGAAGCCTCTCTCCTTACAGTGTCTCCCTCGGTGCAACACCCTTTTCCATTTCCGAACATTTCCAATAAGCCAGGACTCCGTTCCTGCCGACCCGCAGGGCCCCGGCAAGGATCTTTTATGAGCGCTAACAAGAAGCAGGTTTTCTCCGAGAAACTGAAGAATCGGCGCTCCTCAGACAGCTCTCCAAAATAGCTCAGTCCATTCAACAAAATCCTCTTTGGAAACAAAACAAAAAAGACCAGACCGCCGCCTGCACCCGGCCCACGGGGCGCCCCCGCTGCTGCGAGAGCCCGGCACAAAGGCGCGTGCAGGCCTGTGGTGCCGCGGGGGCGGAGGGCCGGCCGCCGGGGCCCCAGGACTCCCCCCTGTCTATTCTGACCCCCTCCCCCGTATCTAGGCATCACAAAGGGCTTAGAAGTTGTATTTCTGGCACAGAGACTCTTCCAGCCACCGCTGGGCTGGGCCAGATTTAACCTGAGGATCGGTGGGCGACCTGCACCATCCATGCCACAGGGCTGCAGGCTCGGCCCGAGCGCTCTGCTTGTGGTAAAGGGTCTCCTCTCCTCCAGCCTTCTTTCTGCCCCAAAACCAGGGTCTCCACACCCCAAAACCAGGGTCTCCACTGGAGAGGGAAAACAAAGGGCCCTGGGGAGGAACCTCAAGGAGATCCTGGGGTCACCTGGCCATGCCTCCCAGGGCAGCGGGGAGCTCCCGTGTCTACCTGGGTTAGTGCAGAGGAAGGATGCTGGTCATGGCGAGGACACCGGGAGAGGGTGGCGGCCAGCCTGTGGGCCCAAGGCACAATGGGTCCAGCCCCTCCCACCCGGGTCTAACCGGGCCCATAGAGCTCTGGGCGCGGCACCAGGACTACTGCCGATTTCCCTGACCCTCACAGGCACACTGCCTGGGCTGTTCTGCTGGCCCCCTCGCCGTCCCCCTTGCCGTCTTAGGAGGAGTGATGGAGAGCTCTGGAGCGGGGAGAAGCCTTCCCTTCCTTTCCTTTCTCGCTCCGCAGGTAGGATTCCCACCCCAGAGGCAGGGCTGAGGCCAAAACACAAAACCCCAGCGGGCCTCCCTACCAGCGTCTCAGCCACCAAGTCCCCAACTCACTCATCTCTCCTGGGACCAGCCCGGGGCCCTCCCACCCTTCAGCGGCCTCCAAGCCTGTCCCATCCTGAGGCAGACTGCTCCCCACGGCTTCACTGTGCACAGAACGCCCCCTTCCCCCTCCGCCAGAACCCCTTTGCCCGCCCTGTGCTCCCATCACCCGGCCAAGGCCTGAGTCAGCAACCGTCCACCGCTCGGGGAGGACGAGAGCCCCAGCAGCTCTGGAACCATGCTCGGAGGGCAGCGTCCTGTGCCCCGGGCCCCGGGCCTGGGTTCTGCCCAGCACAGGGGTGTCGGCAAGCCTGCTCACTCCCAACGTGAGACACGGGGGCGGCGAGGTGTCTGAGAGGAACAAGCGGTAGGGCCTCGCTTCCCATCAGAGCCCCCGGCACCTGCGGGGACTCAAACGGCAGGTCTGCTGCACAGACACGTGGATCGGGCACTGACTCCCTGCGACGGGTCAGGGTGGCCGCGGCCTTGAACGCTAAGCCACCCAGTCCGAGATGTGCAGGCTGAGACCAAGAGGGAGAGGGTGCGTGCCAGCCCTGAGAGGGTGGGCCTAGGGGTGTGGACTGGCAAGGTGACCCGACTCCAGGGTGATGTACCTGGGCCCCAGCCAGAAACACGACAAAGCCCACTGAGGTGCCCATGGAGGTGCCTCCTGGCAGCGACAGCACCACAGCAAGGACGGCTACCATTAACGTGACGCCCAGGTGCCAAGCAGGCTACACGCCTCGGCAGTCAGACAGCTCGGGGGATTCATTCGGCGTGTAACCATGTGACTGCCAGCAGCGTGCCATGCCCCAGGCCGGGCAGTCATGGTTTGTGGAAGGAAACAGACGGAAAAATAGGCCCCCCCCATCCCACGGACATCAACCCGGGCCCTGCTTCAGGACGTGTGGGCGAATCCACAACCACAGCCATGTTATTTTGTACAAATTACTCAGATTCCCTAAATGCTCATTTCCTCATCGGTAACAGAGATTAATAATACTTAAATTGAAGACTAACCGTTGGCAATTTGCACAAAATGCTTACCTTGGGATGAATAAAAATAAAATTAAGTAAATGAAGGATGGTTATTGCTCTTTTCGTTAACCACACAATCATTGGGTACAATGCACAGATTTCAAGCATGCCATCTCAACGTATTTCTAACTCGTTCTCACGAATGCGCCTTCCAAACACCCAACCCCGAGGTCTCTCGCTGCACTGATTCGTGACTGGAGGGTCACCAGGGTGGCCTTGTAATGCACTGCCCAAACGAGGGCACCTCTGAGAGAGGACAAGACGAGAGCAATGAGCAATCCAACTGGGATGCCCGGGTTCACCCGGTGTGCCATTCTGAGCAAATGGAATCGCTGATCGCTTAGTCCAGTGTTTCCCAAAGTGTGGTACGCGTACCCCCAGGGGTACGGGAAGAGTTTGGTGGGGATATGCACTGCACCGTGCTTAGCTGCGCCTAATTCTATGTTCTCATGAGTACGAGGGTTACTCAGGGTTACAAAAATTATAGAAGGGGTACACATATGTCAAAAGTTTGGGAAACACTGGTTAGTCCAACCTTCACAGACCAAGTTCAGGGGCAAAGTCAGCAGCCACCCCGGGGCCTCCTTTCTCCCTTTCGCCATTGTTTTTTGGAGGTGCCACCAACATGGAGACCGGGCCCAACTAACCTCTGACCTGGATAACAGCCAGCACCTGCACCTCTAAATCCGTACGTTAGGACAATTCCATGTCCACGCACACCAACCACACACACACACACACACAGCTCTTCTCAAAACCTGAGTCAGAGAGAGCCCTGGCCCCAGCACCGGTCATCACCCCTCACCCGCCGAAGACCCCCCGAACGGCCCCCTTACCTGAGGTGCCCCGCGCTGTAGAAGCGGGACTCGCCGTCGGTGGAGCGGACCACCTGCAGCGAGAACACGGGCTGCAGCTGCCGGAGCTCCAGCAGCACGATGGCCAGGTAGTGGATGAAGAGCAGTGCGTCCACCAGCGAGACCGCGTATTGCACAATGCCCTGGTAGTTCCGGTCCCGGGAGTCCAGGATGCGGACCCCGTAGAAGAGCCAATAGGAGACCACGAAGAGGAAGATGAGGACCAGCAGAAGGGCCCGGAACACGAACACCCGGGGCAGGTCGGCCCTCTGCTTGCGGAAGAAGAGGGCCCAGGTCCCGATGAGCAGGATGAGGAGCTTGAAGGCCACGGAGAGGAAGAGTCCCTCGCAGATGGTGCCGCAGGGCTCCAGCTCGTCCCTCCACAGGATGGGGGGCAGCAGGATGAAGGCGATGGGGGTGAGGAAAACTAGGAGTCCCAGCGCCGCGGCCACGGTGAGGCCCAGGTAGCGCTTGCAGTCCAGCCCCACGCTGTCCTCCAAGTCCTTGCTGATCCGGGCGATGTCCTCCTGCGAGATGCTGTGCTCCGAGGTGCCCGTGATGGCCGTGGTGGTCTCCCCCCAGTTGTCATCCTGACGGGAGAAAACAACCAGGTTGCAGAGCCACACGCGGCAGGTCCTTCGTAAAGGCCACTTAACCTCCGACCTGGATAACAGCCAGCAACTGCACCCCCAATTACACTCCGGGGGGTGGGCGGGTGGGAGGTCCCACTGCAGAATGACCCACCCGCATCGGCTTCCTAGAAAACTGAAGCCTAACGCTTTCAATACAGGACTTTTTAAACTTTAACAATGATCATTGGCACTACAGGCCAGGTGCACAAAATTCATGCATAGGGGGGTGGGGTGCCTAGGGTGTCCCTCAGCCCAGCCTGACCCTCTCCAATCTGGGACTCTTCGAGGGATGTCCGACTGCTCTTTTAGGCTCGATCCCAGTAGGATCCCTAAATGGGCAGCTGGACATCCCTCTCATAATCCAGGATTACTGGCTCCCAACTGCTTGCCTGTCTGCTTTCCTGATTGCCCCTAACTGCTTCTGCCTGCCAGCCTGATCACCCCCTAACCATTCCCCTGCCAGCCTGATTGATGCCTATCTGCTCCCCTGCCAGTCTGGCTGCCCCTAACTGCTCTCCCCTGCAGGCCTGGTCATCCCTAACTGCCCTCCCTTGCAGGCCTGGGTCACCCCCAACTGCCCTTCCCTGCAGGCCCAGTTGCCACCAATTTCCCTCCTCTGCTGGCCTGGTCACCCCTAACTGCCCTTCCCTGCAGACATGATTGCCCCCAACTGCCCTCCCTTGCAGGCCTGGTCCCTCCCAACTACCCTCTGCTGTTGGCCATCTTGTGGTGGCCATCTTGTGTCCATATGGGGGCAGCCATCTTTGACCACATGGGGGCAGCCATTTTGTGTGTTGGAGTGACAGCCAATATGCATATTACTCTTTTATTAGGTAGGCTTTTTTCAAAATGTACTATATCTGCTTACAAACAGAGAGAATGTGATTTGACCTTTTTGCTTGCTGGTTTGGGTGACTCATTATGACATGATTATCATCCCCCCTCTTCCCCCTCCTCCCAGGTCCCGGGAGAGGCTTTGCCCTGCACTAACCAATCCCGTTGCCTGTTAGACTAACAGGAGGGCCCAAGGCACGAGGAGAAAATCCTCTCCATGTTCTCCTCAATGCATGCCTGGTCACAAAGGCTCATCAGTCCACCTTCTGGGAGTGCCATCCGGGAGCTCACGCAGTTCACGGCCTCATGAGGCAACTTTCCCCGCTGGAATCGAGGCTCCGAGCAGCCAGGACACCCTGTTTTTGTAGCTCCACGGTGTTTTCAAGGCCCATTTAATAAATACCAGCGTCGAGCACACCCTGACAACGTTCTCGAGGAACAAGCTAAGCAAATCCAAGCGTCTCTGGCCAGGCAGCTACACCTCCTCCCACGACCCACGCGCTCCTGGCAAGCCGAACCTCAGGGCCGGGAGTGCCAGGACCATCACGGTATGTCGGCCTTTTGCGTTCTTGCTTTCTCTCTAATTCTGAGGTGGTTTCTAGTTACAACAATGAGTCTTCACGAAATAAGACCTAGTTGTCAGGATTTTAAACAGTTTTGCTATTTCCCTGGCAACTCTGACGCCACCTCAGAGCAACAACAGAGAAGGAGGCGATGAAAAGCCACGTGGAGTCCAAAGGGTGGGCCTCGGGGATTTAACTGGGAAAGGGGTCAGATGCAGGGGCCAGTTGGGCTAATTAATGTGTAAGACACCAACCTAAAACAATCTAGTTTAACAGCTGAATCACCAAGATAGAGCTCTCAAGACTGAACAATAGCATCTAATCTAGGAAGGATAAGAAACCGGATTTACGAAATGCACAGGCCACGGGGAAGGAGTGGGGAGGGGGCGAAGGGCCAGTTCCAGTTTGGAAAGTGCCTGGAGCCACACACCATGAGAGAAGGGACCTTTTAAGACAGAGCAATCAGGGCTCTCGGACATCGCTGGAGGAAGCATAGATGCACAGTGGCTCTTAAACACCAGCCTGGTACTTCCACATACACTGAACTATATGCTTCACTGGATGGCCCAGCAGTTCCATGTCCAGGTTTTTATCAAAATGAATGAAAACATATGTCCATAAAAGGCTGGTATGGGAATGTCCTGAACCGTTTTTTTCACCGGAGCCCAAAAATGGTGCAACCCAAATGCCTGTCGGTCAGGAGAACGCATCCCAAATTGTGGGACATTTGTACCCTGGGACACGACTCGGCAAAAATCCCGAAGGATGAACCGTGGACACACAGCACAGCGTGGAGAAATCTCCAATCATGATGCTGCATGAAAAAAAAAAGTCCAAATCACAAGAATGCAGCTCCCATTACATTGCATTCTAAAACAGGCAAGACTAATCAACATCGACAGAAATCAAAGCAGGGCTTGCCTTAAGGGGAGAGGGGGAGACAGGGAAGAACATGAGAGGACTTTCTAGAGTAATAGAAACGCAGTGATCGATAGGAGAATGCGCTATATGGGTCTGATTCAGCTCTTAAAGTTTATCAAACTTTAGTCTGTTCATTTCTCTGGGTGTAAATTTATTTTAATTTTTAAAAAAGAAAAAAAAATCACACACAGGGGGAACCATCCAAAGAGGGCACCTTGCTTTAACCCAGGGGGAGTTCCCAGGCTCCTTACAATGACTAACTTGGTCATGCTCTCAGTGAAGGTGACACGGGACTCCACGAGTGGCCTGGTTGGGCCTGGTCTTTGGTTGATGCGTGATGCAGAAACCATGACTAGCATCTTGCAGTCATTTTGTTGGTCACCACGCTCTCTGGTTTAGCTCTTCGTTTTTTCCCTGCCAAAGCGTCACTAACTAAATCCCTGTCCATGTTAAGAATGGGAGCACATCTGAGCCTAAAAAAATGCAGATGGCCAAAGGGCTGTCTGGTTCATGTGAGGTTCTTAGAACAGAAAGGATCTAAGACCCTCCAATCCATGTCCCTGGATTTTCAGTGAAGAAGCTGAGGCCCACCAAGGTGACGGCCAAGATCACGCAGCTGCTGAGTACAGCCTCGCCATGCCCACTTCCATGCACTTCCCATCACATCATCCTGGTGTCAACATCCACAGCTTCCCAATGGAGCTACAAGGTGTAGAGAAGCTGCAAAGAAGAAGTGCCTTCGCACAGGCCATCAGCACCCCTGGATCCACATCTAGAAGGAAGTGGCACTGAGGATGGTCCACTCACGAATGGCCCCATCCATCCAACCATCCCTCCGACCCTCCAGCCCCCTGGCCCTCCCAGAGCCAAGGTGGGCAGTGAGAGAGTGAGGACCATAGACATTGCTCATCCTGGACACACCCCACCCTCGTCCCACAGATGCAGCTCTGGGTCCCCAGGGCACCTTGGATGCTCTGAGGAACCATCTATCTGCTCAGAAATGCACATCTGTGTAACCCCACACGCACACAAAGACCAAGCCACAGTCCTACCTCCTTACAGCAGTGTGCACACATCGGTTATTCGGGGCCCAGGCTGGACATGCATCTATTTCACGAGCTGGGGAGGCCATGCAAACATGTTCCTGAGTGTAGCTCAGGTGTTTATTTAAGTCTGATGGGCTGCCAGACAGTGGGGGCCCAGAGAGAAGACCCCACAGAATGTTTTATTAAAATTCTTAAATTACCAAAGCAGTTGACCCTTGAACAATGTGGGGGTCAGGGACATATAAGTGGACCCGCGACAGTTCAGGCCAACTGTGCTTAAAACACGGAGTGATTTCACATGAAATCCCAATTTCCAGCCTTTCCTAAATCTGATAGGACCCAGGCCCACAGGCAGAGCTCCTGTGCTCCTGAGCGGTGACGTGCCTGGGTGCAGCGGCTGCCGCTCCCCACGGAGCACATGCATCCATGTGTGTCCCAGACCCCTCCCCCGGCACGGCCTGGCACCCCGACCCACAGACTGCTCCCATCCCCCCAACCTGCCTGACATACTTGGGTCTTTGTGTGTCCCAGGGCCTGTTTCATCCATCTGTGCTTTCCTAACCGGCATCTAAACGCACAGCCCCAGTCAATGTCATGTCCAGGAGTGGTGCTCACTCAGGGCTGTCCTAACCGCTCCGCTCTCCTCCCCACATGGCTTGGGGTTTCTGGAAGGAGGGTCCTTCCTGTACCTCTTTTTTTTTTTAATATATATTTTATTGATTTTTTACAGAGAGGAAGGGAGAGAGATAGAGAGTAGAGAGTTAGAAACATCGATGAGAGCGAGTCATCGATCAGCTGCCTCTTGCACACCCCCTACTGGGGATGTGCCTGCAACCAAGGTACATGCCCTTGACCGGAATCAAACCCGGGACCCTTCAGTCCGCAGGTCGACGCTCTATCCACTGAGCCAAACCAGTTTCGGCCTTTCCTGTACCTCTTGCAATGAGTCTGCAGCCCACACTTTTTCCTCTCCTCTGCCCTGGTGCCAGCCTAGCTGGCTCCTTTCCAACACAACTCAGATCAAGTCCCACCCGTGACACTTCAGCAACATTCCAAAAGCTGGCTGATGGCGGCACAGGCTGCCCGTGAGACCAACAAGAAACCACAGGACACAGACAAACTGGTTAGCATGCTGGAAAAATAAAGGCGAAAGCCGCAAGAGAACCTACTGCTACAGGTCTTAGAAAAACATTTCCCGAGGAGAGCTGTGAGGGAAGGGCCCTGTGCTTACCAGCCACCCCGGACCCTCACCTGGACTTCCTCCGTCCGAGTGGTGTCGTTCCCCAGCAGGGGCTCCCCGGTGGGCGCCTGGATGGTGACAGCCTTTTCGGATCCTCGGCCATCTTTGCTCCGGGGTGATTTGTGCCTCTCTCTGTTTCTCTCCCTGAAGGAAAAACAAAAACAAAAACACAAAACAGCAGCTAGCACATTTATCCCATGTTAATGAATTCTCATCTCATCCAGATATGCTGTAAATTCCATGTTGAATTTAGGAAAATCACACACACACACACACACACACACACACACACACACAATGGCAATACCCACCTACCGCCACTCCTCCACCCCCACAAGGAGTAAGGTGATTTTAGCATTTTCTTCCTGCTGTTCCAGGACCCCAAAGACTGTTACCCCTCCATCAGCAGCAACCGGACTTTCTCAAAGCCTAACTGTGAGCTTCAGAATCTGCGGGGCTAAGGCACGTTGTTATGGCACAAGGACCGCCTTGCTTTGGCTAGAATTTGACTGGACTTATTTCCCAGGCCCCGCCTCTGCCCTGATTTTGAGTTTGATTGGGACGACACTGCAAAGTCGTCAGGCTTTGGTCTGTCCAAAAAAATCTGGGACACGCTGTCACCCTACACCTCTGGACAAGAAGAAAGGAAATTCTAAACCAGCACAGGGAATCATCTACTCCTCATTCCGACAACCTCAAACTGAAAGTCATTCCCACAGGTTCCAGCGGAACTCAAGGACAGCCACAGAGACCAAAAGGAGCTGGGACAAAGGATGCCAAGGTGTGTGCATGTGTGTGTGCATATATGTGTGCATGTGTGTGTGTGCATGTGTGTGCATATATATTCATGTGTGTGTGTGTGTGTGTGTGTGTGTGTGTACATGTTTTCAGGTGTCCGAAGGACAATAGGCTGCTGGGTAATAGTAATCCTGGGTGGTCTCCCCGGGTGACTGTGAGCACCCTGCTGTCTTGAAACTGCAAACCTCAGAGGTCACAGCCTGGACATCATCCACCCCCAATGGGGAACAGTTAACGCACCCCAAGGAGCCAAGAGTAAGTTCCCTCAACCCCCTGTCCCACAGACCACCATGATATCAGTCCTCCTTCCTCCAACCATGGTCCTCACTCCCACGTCTCCGGGCAGGACAGAGGCATGGCACTGTGGACCCTGGGGCACAAGCAGTCCTTCGGTGCTGCCCCTTCTATAGGTGGGGTCTTGCACATGTTATTCAGTCTCTGGAAGCCTCAGTATCCTCCTCTGTGAGACAGGACAATGATAATTTCCACGGAGGCAGTGCAGGCAGAGCTGAGGACAGGGGTGTGGCCTAAGTGCTAATACACAGTAGCTACTATCACGGCTAGTCCTCTTAGCCGAGGGCCAAGTGTGTACCTTGGCAGAAAGAGCTGTAAAATGAGCCATCAACACACAATCACAGCCCTTCCCGCCCCCACAGCACACCTCCCTGTAACCTACTCCTTAGCTAACAACACCACATGCAGGTGCCCTGCTCAAACTCCTACCTTATCAGGTTGGCCCTAGGATAGGCATGGGCTAAGCCATTCAAGCTGAGGGGCTTCTGACTCCTCCACGATAGCAACTCTAATCTCTAAAGGACTGAAATCTCTTGTAAATCAAGGTCTGGCAGAAGATGTGTTCTGATCAGCTGGGCATTTTCCTTTAGCCTGGCAGCCAGGGAAACAGCCCAGAGATGGGAGAGGTCACTGCCAATCACCCCGCTCCACGCCCACCCCACTTCTGAGTACTCTGGTACCAAATGCTCGATGGTATGCATTTCATTCAACCCCAACAATAACCTCGAGGACAGCATTACTGTCCCCATTTTACAGACCAGGAAACTGAGGCTCAAAGAGTTGAAGTGACTTTCCCAAAGTCACCGTCCGTGGCAGAGGGGAATCCGAACCCACTACACCGCACTGATCTGAGAAGCCTTTAGGTTTAGGAGATTTTGCAGCACACACATCCCTACTGTCGTCCTCACGCCCTGCCCCTGAGGAACTAGCACGGCTGTGAAACGTGCCGCTGAAGCCACGGCTCGGAGTCACACCTGGGCTGTGACCTCGGACAGTACAACACGGAACGAGTGGCCAACACTGCCCAAAACCATCGCTTCCGAAGGACTCACTGTGAGACCTGAACACCCGGGGAGAGTCCCCACCTGCCAGAGCGACCTGTTCAGGCCAGACCAGGAGCCTCCTGTCTGATCTCACTCTGTTCCCTTTCCCCACCTGCTCTCATCTCTGCCATCAGCCAGGTCACATGCTGCCCTCACCCATCTTCCGAGTCGCCGGTCTCATGGGTCAAGTCCTGTGACGGCACAGGTTCCAGTGGAAAGCAAAATTCTTCCACCGTGTGTGGATTCCCCAGGCAGATAGCAGGTGGGGAGCCACCAGGCGGGAAACAGCCTCCCTAGAACCTGCCATCACTCCAGCCCCACCCACCCAGCTGACTTGTGAAGGGCCCGGCAGCACCCAAAGGAGACGCGGCAGCCGATCAGTTCCTCTGGTCACATCAGGGTAAACCAGGGAAGAGCCCCTTATGTGGTAACCCAGGAGGGCGTCTCACCCCCAGGGCCAGAAACCCCAAACCAGTGCTTCTCAGACCGAGCGCAGAGAAGCCGCGGGGTGCGGGTGTGTGTGCAGACTCACCGGCGCCACCCTCCGAGGACTCCTCTGGAAGGGAGACAACAGGAATTGCATTTTCCACCGGCACCCCAGGTGGTCCAGGAACTGGTCCCCAAGGCCCTCCCACCAGATGCCCCAGGTGAGGGGCTGTTGGACTAGTTGCTTGGAAGTCAGCTGGTCTGGGAAGTGCCCTGTGCACAGCAGGGGCTCACTCATGTGTGTGACACTCAGCTGTATGACCTCGCAATGTCCAGCGGCTGCTTTATTAAGCTAGCTCTAGGAGGAGGAGCTGGGAGGAGGGCTCAGGCAGCGTGCATGGGACAGAAGGACAGAGGGACAGTGGGCATGGGACAGAGGGACAGTGAACATGGGACAGAGGGACAGAGGGACAGTGGGCATGGGACAGAGGGACAGAGGGACAGTGAGCATGGGACAGAGGGACACAGGACAGAGGGCATAGGACAGAGGGACACAGGACAGAGGGCATGGGACAGAGGGACACAGGACAGCGGGCATGGGACAGAGGGACACGGCAATATGCATGGGACAGAGGGACATAGAACAGCATGCATGGGAGAGAGGGACACAGGGACACAGGACAGTGGGCATGGGCCAGAGGGACACAGGATAGTGGGCATGAGACAGAGGGACATGGCAATGTGCATGGGCCAGAGGGACACAGGGCAGCAGGCATGGGGACAAAGGGACACAGGACAGTGTGCATGGGACAGAGGGACACAGGACAGTGTGCATGGGACAGTGGGACACAGCAATGTGCATGGGCCAGAGGGATGCCAGGGCCAGAGCTTCCCCTACACAGTCAACTACGTGTAAAGATCGTCCTAACAACTCAGCACGGGCTGCGCTGTGCTGTCCTTGTGTCTAAGAACTGCCTGCGGCTTTCCGGAGAAGCCAGGAGCTGAGTACCTGTCCTGGGAGGGTCTCTGAGCCGGTGCGAAAGAGGGAAGTCCAACACCGGCTGTGCTTTCCGTTCCAGCTGCAAGCCCGAGCATGGCCGCCTCAAAGCCAAGGCCCAGACGCCCATCCGATCGCTCCCGATGCCCTGACTCCAGGGAAGGGCCCAGTGCCCCTTGGCAGGGCTCCAATGAAGACCACCAGAGGACGTGACCGGAGGGAGACGGGAGTCCGGCCACCAAACCCCTGAGGGAAACACGTGCCACTGGGTGCTTCCGGCTCCGCCTAAGCGGCCGGTGTCTTTACCGCCGAGTCTGTTTCCATGCAACACCTGCCGGGATGAGTACAGATAAGCGCCTCTGTGCACGTGTGTGCGCGCGAGGAGCAGGCGGAGCAGGCAAGGGCACGCCGAGCCCGGCACGTGTCTATACCTGCGTGTGTGTGCGTGTGTGTGTGTGTGTGTTTGTGAAAATGCACCTATGGAGGCAATGCTGGAGCTGAGCCCTTGGTGGCGGCTACAGCCCCCAGCCCCAGCCAGCGTCCCTGGCGAGTCCCACCCAGGGCCTCCTGGGTCGGCATTTCCTGGGAAGATGATTTGGCGCTGCGTCTGCTGTTTGTCTTTCTATTTGGGGAAAGCCGGCCCCACCGGGGGCTCCTCCCTTTCCTTCTCCACCACCACCCACTACCTGCCCTTTCTGTCCGCTGCCGGCGGGGCCCCGGCTGCTTCCTCTCCCACTGGCTCTGCCGCCCGGGAACAAAGCCACCGCCCCCCACCGCTCCACAGCCCTCTCCGGGACAATGCGTGTTAGCAATCAGTCACATGAGCAACCCTTCGTTTCCTCTGCTCTTTTTCCTGCCGGTCACTCCTGCACGGCCCAGGGGGAAAGCACGGGCTTCTAAAGGCCTGAACCTACTACCTAAGGCACCCACGAGCCTTGTGGCCAGGCACATTATGGTGCCTCTGGGCCTCAGTCTTACCACCTGGGGAATGGGGGTTCCACTGCCCACGGTCCTGGGAGGGCTGTGAGGATGTAGGAGGAGGACCCGTGTCCTGGCAGGCTGGTGGTCCTGAGCAAGGCTGGCTGCCGCTGGATTGAACTCAGAGAACTGGGGTTCCGAACCCAAAGGTCTGGCGAGGTCGGCCCACACCACTTTCCCAGCAAGTTAACCGCCATCCTTTGGGGAGGGCGGCCATCGAGAAACCAGCGCACTGACCTCCCTGCTAGAAAAGAGTCACCGGTTGTCTGCTTGGAACCCAGCGGACCACAGCAGCCTCATGCACACCAGGCGTGGTGCACAGACGCTTCCCCTCCGGTGACATTACCCAACAGCAAGGCCCGCCCCTCTCCTCGGCTCCCATTCCACCCCTTTCCCCTGAGTCCGGAGCGGGGCGGCCTGCGTGGGGACACCGCTGGGGGGCAGTCTCTCGGCTGGTCCGGGGCCTAACCAGGACGGCATGGAGGCTGCTGTGACTGCCTAGCCGGCTGTCACCTGCTCCACAGTGACCGGCCTCACAGGCCCTCAGACAGAGTCACCCGGGGCGGGTGATGTCATTCGAAGGAGCCATGAGTGACCCATAAATCTTTCATGGCCAACCCTCCCCCCGCAGCTCGCCCGAGCAGGCGCTCGGTAACATTCCCTGATTAATTTATTAAACGCGCCAGCTTGTATCATTGTTTGCGGAGTACTTTCCACATGAGTGCTAGAGGTGCTCAGGGTTCTACATGCTCTTTGCATGCAAGGTTACATACAGTCCTTGCATTTTCCACATGGGCACTGCGGTCCTGGATCCATTTCTGGGGCCCCAAGAGGCCAGAGGACACAGCAGAGCACGGGCCCTGATGCATGACAGTCAGGACATGCGTGGAGATAAAGGACCCCGGAGACCGTCCCTCCTCAGAAGGTGTCCTCCTCATTCAGCTCCGAACACCACGGGAACCCCAAGCTCCAGCTCCCACCACTGTGGCGTGGGGAAGGGAAACTTGGCATATGGACGAGGAATTGCTTTTTCCAGGCAGGTCCAAAGATGAGCTGTTTTGAAAGACCTGTTTCTAGTATATATACACCGAGTGGCCAGATTATTATGATCTCTAAATGCATAATGATTTGGCCACTCAGTGTGTGTGTGTGTGTGTGTGTGTGTGTGTGTGTGTGTGTAAATATATATATCTTTTTTTTTTTAACTACTGGTAACTTGATATGTTTACCCACTGGTTGAAGTCTGTGATGACATTGTTATTACGGGAGCCTTACCTGGGCTTCAATGCAACTTCCCCCCCAAATGTTTAGGTTTATAACAACCATACATGAAAACTCAGAAAATTATGAAAGTTTAAGAAAAAATATCCCACAATCTTAATAATCCCCAGAGACAGATTCAGATCCCTAATAACCCCACAGATGGACACGGTCAATATGTTCACATTCATCTTATCCCAAGAATATAGCACTACAATAACATACCAAGTTGTGAACCTTGTTTTTTACGACATGGCCTCACCAACATGTTTTCCTGTCGGTAAACAATCTTCGCTGACCCTCACTTCTTTTACTCCATTCGTATTTTTTTAAAATATATTTTATTGCTTTTGTACAGAGAGGAAAGGAGAGAGATAGAGAGTTAGAAACATCGATGATGAGAGAGACTCATCGATTAGCTGCCTCTTGCACACCCCCTACTGGGGATATGCCCGCAACCAAGTTACATGCCCTTGACCGGAATCGAACCCGGGACCTTTCAGTCCCCAAGCCGACGCTCTATCCATTGAACCAAACCGGTTTCGGCCGTATTTTTAATTGCAAAAGACACACTAGGCAAAGACTGAGTACAGATAGCTGATGGAGACATGAGCCGTCCATCAGTCACCGTCTGTGCCCAGCCCCTTCCCTGTGGCTGACACTCCTGGCGACTGGAAGAGCATCCTTCTGGACCTGTCTGCGGGTGCATCTGCATCCGGCTGCTTGTGGGAGGACCTGTTCAGTCAGGGAGGCCCCACTGCAGTAACCCTCCCAGGACACACAGGGCTAGACCACAGCGGGGCCTCTGGGCAGTGGCCAGGTGTGGCCTTTGACTCTGGCGCCTACACACCAAGGCCATTCATAGCATTACCGTGCAGCCACTGGTCAGCGACCTCCTACTATGTGCTGTCTTCAATGCTTAGCCTCATCTAACCCTCTCAGTAGTGCCTTGAGGAGGGTCCTGCTATGCCCATTTCACAGAGGAGCCTGAGGAAGGGGCAGCACCGTAATTTTGCCAACTTCATCCCCTCGTTCCTTACATGCCAAACACTCAGTAGGTCTGCAGGACTGCAGGCTTGGTGAACATCCGTGCACGCCTGCGCATGTGCTCAGAGGAGGGGTGAGCCCCCGGTGCCCAGGACAATGATTTCAAAACCCCAAACGGACACCCGGCCAATCCCACTTCTTTGTTCAAGCCTCGTGGCAAGTACACAATGGACCCTGAGTCAGCAGCTTTGGCTGAAAAGCAATAAATTAACATGTTCTTTTTTTTTTTTCCCCCTCAAATTTTCATTTACATTCTTGGCAAAGCTGTGGAGAACTATCATCTAAGAGAAGTTCTTGGAAATGGAAAAACGGTTCCACTGCAGAGAGAAACGCTCGTTTAAAATCAATTGTGAGAAATTGCGGTCATCGGGGATAATGGAAGCAATAAAATGCAACGTGGAGGCGTGGGTGCACCCCACACAGGCCCCGTGCTCTGTGAGCTCAGCTCCTCACGCACCCACAGCCCTGCAGCCTGCCCGTTTCCTCCACAAGGAGAAGCGGGGGCACCCACAGCGTACGTACCCCTGCCTGTGGGATTTCTTCGAGTGGCTGGAGTAGTAAGAATATCCAGAGTACGTGGACTCGGTATCCATAGCAATGGGCAGCTCGCTCGGGGTGAAGGCGCAGGCGTTGGTTCTCCGGCGAGGTAGAGAGTTCCCTGGGTGCCTGACGCCTCAAAGGGCCCGGGAACCACGGAGCCACTCGTCCACAGGAACCAAATCTGGGGAAACGGGGAGAAAAGAGATTATCAGCCTTTAAAGCCAACCTGCAGGGCTGGCAGGCAAGGAGAGCAGCATCTCCTGGGGGGATAGGGGTTTCCCTCCAGGCTCAGGCAGCAATAGCTCCCCCTGCATCTGGGAGGGAGACGGGTAGGGGACAGTCAAGCCATGCCCCAGCCATAGCAGGAAGACCTAGGCAGGTGAGACCTGGCCCTGGGCCATTTCCGGGATACAGCCCTGCCCCCAGCAGGTTCAGGCCGTGGGTAGTGGCTTCCCACAGCCCGACCCCATCCCCGGCCCCCACTGCCAGTGTGCTGGTTACGAAAACAATACCCAGGAAAGTCACTTCAAAGGGATGTGCTCATCGTTTCCAAAGGCCCATTTAAAGGGGGGGGGGGGGGGGGGGGGATAGTTCCCAGTCTCTTTAACCCAGGAACCCAAATTCCTGAGAATTTATCTGGGGGAACTAATTTCTTTTTTTATAGAAAAATTATAATTACCGCATTGTCGGTAGCAGTACAAAGCTAGAAACCCTCTAAGGGCCCCAACACAGAGGAATAAGTTTATCCTCCCTAAAAAATATCATATGGCCGTTTACAATGATAACGATGGAGAATGGAGAGGTTTGCAAGAGTACGGCAACTGGAAAAAGCAAGCTACTGGGCCGTGGAGACGGCCATCCACAGGGCAGTTACAAACCCTACAAAACCACACAGGGAGAGAGAGACGGGGATGAGGGGTGACATCAGGGGAAAGGAGCAGGTGATTGGTGAGTGGCAGGCTCCTCGCTCTTTCCCCACATTTGCATTAGATGCTTCTTGGCGATAAAAATGAATGAGCAACATTTCCAGGTAAATTCCTGCTAATAGAACACGCCCCCGCCCCGCCCCGCCCCGCCCCCGCCAGATCTGAGAGTGGTGCCCATCACCCCAGAGCTGGGCTCCGCCCACCAGGGCCCTGGGAGCTCACCCTGCACACAGAGCCGGTGAGAGAAGTGCAAGAAAAACACAAAGGCCCTGCCAATGCGACCCAGACTCGCCTCCCTGGCCCTGGGTGCCGTGACTGGTCCTTCCCATCCTCCTCGGCCATCGAGGGGCCAGGTGCGAAGAGGGAGGCCTGGTTCTGGCCAGAGCGCTCCCCTGCCTAGGACAGCCTGGGTCTGGCCACTGGCCTCAAGCGTGTTTCCTCAGCTGTCCCACCAACCAGCCACCACCTTCCCGGGGTGGATGTGAAGGCGGGAGCAGATGCAGTGCCCGGAGCTGGGTGCCAGTCCAGGCTCTCCTGGCTTATGAGCTGTGCGACTCGATCGCAGTCCTAGCCCTCTCGGAAGCTGCCTCTGTGAAAGGCACGCACCAGCGCTGCTGGCGGGAGGAGAGAACTACGGGCGTGGCATCAAGTTCTGGACAAATGAACGTGGTGACTCCCAGGATGCTCGTCCCGGGTCCAAATCCTGACGCCCTGCTGTCTCCCTCAGGAGCAGGGAGGCTGTGGGGAAGGAGCAGGCGGAGCAGTGCCCCCGCGGCTTCCCACCTGGAGGCTCCCTGCAGTCAGGTGGCCCTGGGCTGGCATTGCTGCTCCCCCACCCCCACCCCCCAGCTAAGGAGCTGTCACCTGGGCAGGGCAGGCTCCCGGGAGCCCGGTCCCTTAAGCAGAAACCAGCAGCCTATCTTCCGCGCATGTGAAAACAGATGACAGATGTTGCAGGCATTTTGAAAAAAGGTTAGTTCTGCTCTCGGACCGACCCCCACTTTTCCTAGACTTCTCCAGCCCGCTCATCGTTTTCACTCCCTCCTCTGCCTCCCACCATTTTCACGAGCAACGTCCAAGGCTTTCAGCACCTCAAACGCTCACTCCTTTCAGCTCGGGCTCTGCTGCGTGTTACCCGGCGGCCACGGGCATCGGGAGGTGGGCCTGCCCTGCCCCAGCCTCCTTCCCCAAAGCCCTTCGCCCTGCTCTCCTGCTGACCCGCAGGCCCCAAGACCCAGGACCCCGACTGCGCTGCTCCTTTCAGAATCCACACCCACAACGCCTGCCCTTCCTCTGCCTTCCAAAACCGAATTCCTGACTGCCCTTTCCAGCCCAGGCCCAGCTTCTCGCTAACGCTGGCCACCTGCTGCTGGGGGGAGAGGGGGGGTGTCTCAGGGGCGGGCGGCCCCGGCACCGCAGACCCGGCTGGTCCTCTCCGGGCTTCCTGGCCATGACTCCGAGGGGCACACGCTCACCTCCCGGGCTTGTTTCTCCCCTGGTAACTCGAGGCCATTTCATTCGAACATCCTCGGGTGGTTGTGAGCATCCTTGGAGACTCGCCACGTAACGCCTCTGGCACCCGGTAGCCCACGTCTCATTCCTCTTCCCCCTCTGCCAGCAGACGCCATTCTCCATCCTCATTAGGAATCCTGGCCATCCCCTGAGGCAACTCCAGGCATGTCCAGCCAAGGAAACGGTGGTGTTGCTTGCATGCACTCTCTCTCTCTCTCTCTCTCTCTCTCTCTCAACCTCTCCCTTCTGCTGTCTTTGGGGAAAGGCTGTACTTAACCCACCAGCTGCCCTTGCCCAGTTTCTCTCCCACAGTCCCTGCCTGTGCTCATCAAAGGGGGTCTGCAGGTGCTGCCTCCCGGCGCCTCCCACCCCCACCCCGACGGTCACGCAACCCTCCTCCTCTCCCCTGAAGAGCTCTTAGCTGGCCAGCGCAGGCGATGAGCCCAATCCAAAGGCCACACTCCTGTCCTCCTTTCCCTAGATCGTAGCCTATCTGTCCATCCACCCACCGCCATGTTCATGAAGCAGCCGGAGAGACCCACTGGCAAGGTCCGGACACAGCCACGCACACCAACGCACACAGCACAGTGTCATCGTCGATGTGATGCAATGACTTCTCCCTCATGCTCCCAAACCCAGCATGCACTGTGTTTTTTGTGAAGCGTACATGCCTATGAGAAAGTTTAATTTGTAAATTAGGCACGATAAGGAGACTAACAACAGCAATAATTAAACGGGACAATTGTAACAATCCTATATACTAAAAGCCTAATATGCTAAGTGTCTTCGCTTGACCACAGGACCAGGCGCTATAAGGCACACTGACCACCACGGGCAGCTTCTCTGACCGGTAGGTTAGTTTGCTGCTGGGGTCTGGCTCATTGGGACTGGGTGAGACGGGCCAGACATGCTCTGGAACCCTCCCCCGTCCCCTTTCGCAATCCGAGACCCCTCCAGGAATGTCAGAGAGCCAGTTTCAGCCTGATCCCCACAGGCCAGGCCGAGGGACCCCACCGGTGCACGAATCTGTGCACTGGGGCCTCTCGTAACACTGTAATAAAAGTATCTGAATGTGGTCTCTCTCAAAATACCTTAGGGCACTGTGCCCATCCTTCTCCTTGTGAGGCTGTGAGAGGACACAATGTCCAGGGTGATGAGGTGCTATTAACTAAAACAGTGGCCACGGAACGGAAGCGCTGAGGCTCCTCGCGGTGGATCTGATAACCTGCACGACTGCTAAGTGACTGAGGGCGGGTAGCACCCACCGCGCCGATCCTGGACAACAGGACGGGGCGGGAGGGAGCGAGACTTCACCACGCTACTCCGCATGGCGTGCAATCTAGAACGTACGAATGGTTTATTTCCGGAATGTCCCAGGTAATATTTTCAGACAGCAGTTAACCTCAGGTAACGGGAACCCTGGAAAGTGAAACTGAGGGACTCCAGTGTCCTGGGGCTTATCTCGAAATGACAATATTTACAAGATAGTTTCCTTGTAGGTACTAGAACCGAGCAGAACTCAGATAAGGCCAGAGGGCTGCCTTATGGGGAAGGTAATGAATTGAAAGAGAAGGAACCAGATTCCCAGGGCGATAACCCACAGGCTGCTGCAGGCCGGGCCAGCGGGGATGGTGTCACAGAAAGGCTCTAACAGGGATCCTGGGACCTGGGGCCGTCCTGCTCCTGGCCCAGGGTGACCTTTCAGATCATAGGAGCCGTCCCTTCCCCAGAAACCCCTCCGGATCAGCCTGCACTTTTTTTAAATATATATATTTTATTGATTTTTTTTTACAGAAAGGAAGAGAGAGGGATAGAGAGTTAGAAACATTGATGAGAGAGAATCACCCATCAGCTGCCTCTTGCACACCCCCACTGAGAATGTGCCCGCAACCAAGGTACATGCCCTTGACCAGAATCGAACCCGGGACCTTTCAGTCTGCAGGCCGACGCTCTAGCCAAACCGGTTTCAGCCAGCCTGCACTTTTTTACATCCCATCATCCGGTTCTCCATCTGAGCGGCTGCCTTCTGAAGGGATGGTCAGCTCCAGGAGGGCAGCGGCCACCTCCGTCACCGCCTCGCCAGCCCCGAGGACCCCATAGGTACAGGGCACGCTGCATGGAGAGTGGCCGTCCTCGGGATGGGAAGGCCACGCATCAACCGTGCAAGAACACCATAGAGATCGCCTGTCTTAAACCCTGTCTTCTGGAGGAGGGAGAGGTGCAGGGTTCGATTCGGGAGTGACGACAGCCACATGGCGCAGTGCTGCCTGCTGATCACACGCCTGTCTCACTCAGACCCGCCCGCCAGCCTGTCAATCCCCACCCCCCTCCCGGAGCTAAGGCCCCGCAGGAGGCAGACACCGGGACAGGGCTGGGGCTGGCACACCGGGTTCACGGGGGCACGGAGAAAAGCAGAGTGAAGACTGGTGGCCTCGAAGAGAATCTTCCCGAAAGTCACGTTCACGCACACAGGCTATACCTACTCCTTACATGGGGAGGGCAGAGCCAGCAGAGGGACACGGAGTGTTGTGGGAAAGGCAGCAGTCAACAGAAGCTAACCACAAGAAGGAAATGATCAGAACGTCCACAGCTCTGCCTGGAGCTGTTAGGTCATC